TATAAACCCGTTAAAAAAAGATCTTGGCCAATATCAAGCCATCTTGAACTCACGCGTGGTCAATAACCCATGTGTAATCAGCCCAGTTAGGGCTCGAACCCAGATCTCTTTATCCGACGCGCTCATCACTATGCAAGCAAACTTCAATTCCCGCACTGTGCCATTCTCAAGAAATGTTCACTACTCACCTCGTCTCCCTTGTTATCAAAGGCAGGATCTGTGAGGTAAGTCTCTCTGGCCGCTACAAAGTTGAATGCTTCAATCATACGGTGATACGTCAGAACCGGGTGCTTTTTCATGTCCTCTGGGCCAAACTTGAACCCTGTTCAGAAACAGGACACATACATCACTCGCAAAACATTTCGTACGATTTTAATTTCGGACAAAATAGGTGTTCGAAAATATAACGGTCCGAAATTTTTAAGCGTCCGAAATATTTACTCTACAATATAAAACTTCCAAGTACATGCTAAATTCTTGTGCGACGCCCTCAAATTTATTTGTATTCAAGGCCTATATACCTGATAGAGCTTTTACTCGGATTAGGCTTTGTTCGTTCTTTTTGTCACTTTATGGAGCGACTCTAGCTTAAGATATTTGACGGCTTGATATAATTTGTGTTATTTTCTAGTCAGTGTTCTGTAAAACCTTGAGTGTGCTGTAAAACTATCTTTTTCGTTGATGTTATTTCAGTCTAATTCGCCGTTTTTAGGCGTAAGTTTACGGCAGATATGTTTCAGCAAAGTGGTTTTGTCCGAAATGAGATAAAAAGTGTTCGAAAATTGTTCCTTCCAGTCGTTCGATATAAAACGTCCGAAATGTTAACATCCGACATTTTTTGCAAGCGATGCACTACAAAATAGCACAACTGACTCGTTGGTGACAAGGTTTTAAGACAGAGAATAGTGAAATTTTTACTGACTCAAAGACGTTACAAATCGAACTTACCTTTAAGAATGTTCAAGATATCAATCAAGGCTACACCCCCTGCAGGAGGTGGGACGGTCATAATTTTGTGCCCATCCACCCCAGGAAGGGCGGTCTCCAAGGCTTTGACTTTACTGGCTTGGTAATTTTCTAAATCCTCGACGGAAATCTTGGAACCGATGGATCTCAGGTCTTTAACGATCTGTTCATGTTTTAAGACTTTAATAAATACATTATACACTTAAATTATACACTTAAATTAAAATTCTGGGGATTTCAAAGTTACACAAAGTAGTCCTGTTCGGCAAGAATGGAATCTAATTCCCAGAGATCTGCTGTGGGAAGAGAGCTAGAGAGATCTGGAAACGAGTTCAATCCGGGATTGGAGGTGTTTGAGAAAAACGCGGGAAAATAACAGAGAAAAATGTTGCGACCCGTGTTTTGAACCGTGGTTGTGATTAGTTACTTGTGGAAAGTTTGACAAGGCAGACAAAAGAGTCTTCCCGCTCACGGTTGGAGTATTAGCTAGTAATCGTTTTCATACCTGCTCCGCCATTTTTCCTGAGTAGAAGATATCTGCAGATCCGGATTTTGCTATTTTTTTAAGAGTGTTTCCATATTTTGTTCTCTTTATGAGGTCACCGTCTTTAATAAATCTACCATTTGGCTTGAATAACTCACTGCGTTGAAAGGAAAACATATTCTAGGTAAGTGTAATTTGAAATAACCCCTCCCTTACAAGGTTCTTGAAAAAAATATTTACGTTCCAGAGGAGGCAAAATTTTCTTCTCATGTGACTAATGGTCTTTAATTCCCTAAAAGATGAAAATGTATCAACCCAATTACCTGACCAAACCACGCTCACACTGTTCGTGGGCTGCAAGCGTATTCGATTATTAATTCTTAGGCGGCAAATCACAAAATGTAATAGTTACTTACAAACCTTACTGCAACCTTTTTGCCATCTTCAAACAGTAAATTCCTTGTTGAACACTTGCCGTATTTAGTCAATTAAACGCCCCGGCGTTTATTGAATTTTTCATGATTCTAGTGCGGAGTTAATTCGAGGGCCGCGTTTATACGAGGGCGGCGATTATTTAAAATCCAATGTATTTCTTGCAAACAATAGTATTGTAACTGAACATTTGAACTTGTTTAAGCTGAACTACCGTATATTGTTCTTGTGTTTTGATTATATTCCTTAGAGCTTTGAATGTACTGATATCAAAACATTGTTACAATCAAGGAAAATAAATCTTTTAGGCTTGTTCAAACTTGATTATTACTGCATTTGCTTTTCGAGTTTATTATTCAAATAAACGCCGCACCACGATGATCAATATTTCTGATCTAAAATGCGGCGTTTATTCGAGGGCGGCGTTGAATCGAATAAATACGCTAGCAATAAACTGTTGGTTGGTTAATCCTGGGGAGTGGGGTGGGCGTGTCTTATTGACTATGTGCAGCTATTTAGTCAAGCTTGCGTAGCCCCTCCACCCCCACCCCCCACCCCCCCGCTCAGGAGGGAGAATTCCCATATGATCTGGTCGGCCATGCTCGTCGAAAAATCTTTATTAAGTCCCTGAAGGAGACCAATGACAGCGTTTTTTTAAATTATTTCTTCGATACTTTAACAGCTGAAAATAGTGCTGTTTTGTTCTTAACACCCTACGTGAGACCAAAATATGTGAATTAAACCCTTAAGCGAGACGACAAGCTTCCCTGACGTTTTCGTATGGGATTCCCCCCCCCCCCCCCCCCCCCCCCCCCCCCCCCCCCCCCCCCCCCCCCCCCCCCCCCCCCCCCCCCC